TTCTGGGACTCCGGGATCATGCCCTGAGTTGAAGGCAGATGCTCATCCACTGAACCACTCAGGCGTCCCCTTATTTATCTATTTATTTGGGAGAGAGAGAGAATGAATGAGAGAGCAGGAGCAGTGGGGAGGGGCAGAGGGAGAAGCAGACTCCCTGCTGAGTAGGGAGCCTGCTGCTGGGCTACATCCCGGGACTCTAGGATCATGACCTGAGTTGAAGGCAGATGCTCATCCACTGAACCACTCAGGCGTCCCCTTATTTATCTATTTATTTGGGAGAGAGAGAGAATGAATGAGAGAGCAGGAGCAGTGGGGAGGGGCAGAGGGAGAAGCAGACTCCCTGCTGAGTAGGGAGCCTGCTGCTGGGCTACATCCCGGGACTCTAGGATCATGACCTGAGCTGAAGGCAGACCTCAACTGACTGAGCCACCTAGGCACCCTGTGAAATTAGTTTCTATATGATTATCCACCAATACCCTAATCATCTATTCCCTTATCTCATTTCTTTTTTTTAAGATTTTTAAAATTTATTCCTGAGAGACACAGAGAAGCAGAGACATAGGTAGAGGGAGAAGCAGTCTCCCTGCGGAGAGCCTGATGTGGGACTCGATCACAGGACCCCGGGATCATGCCCTGAGCCAAAGGCAAACATTCAACCACTGAGCCACCCAGGTGTCCCTCTTTTTATTTCTGAGGACACATTAGCCTCACACTTGCACGGCCATACTCTAGTCCATGTTATTACCAAGAATTTCTCCACCTCTGAGATTTTATTTATTTGTTTGTTTATTTATTTAAAATATTTTATTTATTCATGAGACACAAAGAGAGAGAGGCAGAGACACAGGCAGAGGGGGAAGCAGACTCCCTGTGAGGAACCCGATATGGGACTTGATCCCAGGACCCTGGGATCATGACCTGAGCCAAAGGCAGATGCTCAACCACTGAGCCACCTGGGGGTCCCCCCACCTCTCAGGTTTTAAAATCAAGCCACTCTCTTATTGCCATAGCACACCTGAGGAATGTAAGACACTTCTGACAATAACTGTGGTTTACTGTGGCTGTGATTCTAGAGTGAGGAGTGAGAAAAAAACCAAGAGGAATAATAAACTTCCAAGAGCATTTATTTAACTCTCAGAGGTTTACTTAAATTTGGGTGATTTTGATGGGTATCCTACAGGAAGCGTTTCTTCTGCCCTTTCTACCTATTAAAATCATTGAAGGAACTGGAACCAAGATCTGGGTTCAAATACTGACTCTATCCCTTGGGTCAATTCAATCTCTCTTGTCTCTGTTTTCTCATCTATAAGATGAGGATAGTTTTATTCCTTACTTTATAGGATTAAGTGAAATAATAAATGTATAGTACTTGGAAGAGGATCTGAGATTCAATAAGTGTTAACAATTATCATTTATTTATATATACACATAAATATTTTTTAAAGAGAGAGTGTATTGTATGGCAGGGGAGGGGCAGAGAGAGAGGGAGAGAGAGAACCTTAAGCAGACATCCTGCTGAGTGTGGAGCCCAATGTGGGGCTCAATCTCATGACCTTGAGATCAGGACCTGAGCCAAAACCAAGTGTTGGACACTCAATTGACTGTGCCACCAGGTGCTCCAACAACATTTATATACCAGTGATTTCAAATCTCTTATCTTCAGCTCAGAATTCTCTCAGTGCTTCAAATCATGTCAACTGCCACCTGTACATCTTCCCTTGGATGATGGCTCTGGGCACTGCACACCTACATTTAAAATTTATCATTTTTTTCTTTGCAAATCTTCTCCAAGATTTTCTTTCTTTCTTTTTTAAAGATTTATTATTTATTTGAGAGAGAGAGAGAGAGAGAGAGAGCACAAGTGCAAGGGGCAGAAAGAGAACTCAAGCAGACTCCATACTAAGCGCAGAGCTGCACAACCCTGAGATCACAACCCTAAGATCATGACCTGAGCTGAAACCAAGAGTCAAGAGTTGGTTGTTTAACCAACTGAGCCACCCAGGCTCCCCTTCTCAAGTTTTCTATCAAATCTTAAAATGGTATCACCATGTCAGGTTACTCAAATCAGAATCTAATCAATTAGCCATACCTGCTGATTGTATCTTTTTTTTTAAGATTTTATTTATTTATTCATGAGAGACACAGAGAGAGAGAGAGAGAGAGAGGCAGAAACACAGGCAGAGGGAGAAGCAGGCTCCAGGCAGGGAGCCCGACGTGGGACTCGATCCCGGGTCTCCAGGATCATGCCCTGGGCTGAAGGTAGGTGCTAAACCGTTGAGCCACCCAGGGATCCCCCCCTTTTTTTTTTTTAAGAAATTGCTACAGTGGCCCCAGCCTTCAGCAACTACAACTCTGGTCAGTCAGCTGCCATCAACATCAAGGCAAGACCCTCCATCAGCAAAATGATGATGACTTGCTGGAAGCTCAAACGATGGTTAGCATTTTTTCACAATAGAATGTTTTAAAATTAAGGTATGTACATTGTTTTTTAGACATAATAGTATTGCACACTTAATAGACTAGTGTGTAAACATAACTTATATGCACTGGAAAACTAAAGAATTCATTTGACTGGCTTTATTTTAATATTCACTTTGTTGCAGTAGTCTGGAACCAAATTTGCAATATTTCTGAGGTATGCCTGTAACCTATTATTATCTGTCTATATAGATTTGCCTATTTTGGACATGTCATATAATTAGAATCATACTTTGCAGCTGTTTCCCTTCACTTAGCATAATATTTTCAAGGGTCATCCACAGTGTAGGAGTAGTTCATTTTTATGGCCTAATAGTATTCCTAATAGTATTCCATTTCAGGTGTATTCTGCTTTTGTTTATCCATTTGTTAGCCATTGGCATTTGGATTGTTTCTACTTTTTTGCTATCAGCTGTGAATTTTTGTGTACATGTTTTTGTATGGACATCTTATCAATTCTCTTGAGTATATATCTAATACAATTGCTGGGTCATGACAACTATAACAATGTGAGGAACTGTCAGAATATTTTCCAAAGCATCTTATTTTTATTTATTTGACTTTTAGAAACTTTATTTTCTGTCAACATTTTTTCCATTTGTTTGCCTTTGTGAAAGAGCAACTTAAGACCACTCAGTAGTTATTCCAACGCACTGAGCAGCCTGAGCAGTGGGAGCTGCAGACCAGGCTGCTTGGCAGGTTGAGCTTGCCAGTCTTCAGTAGGGAACTGCTGAATAGGCACAGAGGGCAGAGGGCACCTGCATGCCTTCAGACCAGTCTGCGCTTTCACACCTTGGGGTAACGACCTGAGCCGAAGACAGACACTTAACAGACTGAGCTGCCCAGGAACTTCTCACTGTGGTTTTATTTATTTATTTATAGTTTTTTTTTAAGATTATTTATTTATTTATTTATTTATTCATAGAGACACAGAGAGAGAGAGAGAGAGAGAGGCAGAGACACAGGCAGAGGGAGAAGCAAGCACCATGCAGAGAGCCAGGGTCTCCAGGATCACACCCTAGGCTGCAGGCGGTGCTAAACCGCTGGGCCACCGGGGCTGCCCCTTATTGTGGTTTTAATATGCATTTCTCTGATGGCTAATGATTGAACATCTTTTCACATTCATTTATCCGCTTGCATATCTTCTTAGGAGCAATGTGTATTCAGATCTTTTGCTCATTTAAAAATTGTCCTATTTATCTTTTTAGGATTGAATTGTAATAGTTCTTTATACTGAATATTAGATCCTTATCAGATATGTTATGTGCAAATATTTTCTTCATTCTTTCTATTTTTTTCAACACAAAAGACTAAAGTTTTTAATTTTGATGACGTTTATTTACTTTTCTTTGGTTGCTTGTGTTTTTTTTGCAACATAGCTAGGAATCCATTGCCTAATCGAAGGTCAAGAAGATTTATGCCTATGTTTTCTCCTAAGAGCTTTTTTTTTTTCTTTTAAGATTTTATTTATTTATTTAGGGAGAGAAGGTGCACGAAGGTGGGAGGGGCAGGGATAGAGGGAGAGAGAGAATCTCAAGCAGACTCCATGGTGAGCACAGACCCTTCAAGACGGGGCTTGATCTCACAACCCTGAGACCAAGACCTGAGCAAAATCAAGAGTCCCTTCGTTAACTCACTGAGCGACCCACGTGCCCCATCTCCTAAGTTTTATAGTTTTGGCTCTTACATTTAGGACTTTGATCCATGTAAAGTTAATTTTTCATATGTTGTGAGGTAGCGATCCAAGTTCAGTGTGTTGCGGGTGATTATCCAGTTGTCCCAGTAACATTTGTTGCAAGGTATCTTTCACCTTTAAGTTGTCTTGATAGTCCAGTCGAAAAAATTAATCTGTGTGTGAGGGTTTATTATTTCCAGAACCTCAATTCTATTTCATGGGTCTAAATCCTTCTCCTCTACCCTTATGCTCGCAGGACCACTGTATTTCACAGAAGTCATCTAAGAACCATTCTTTAACTCACAACCATTAATTCCAGGGTCTGAATTACCTTTTCCTCCCCACGGGTGTAAAAACTTTTCCAAGAATGTCTTTAATCCGTAGCCATCCAGATTGTGTCCCATTGGGTCGTTTGGTTTTGTTTTGCTTTTCTGAATAAAAATCAAGGTCACGTGTTAGGCGGGGAGGCCGCTTAACCAGAAGTTAGCTCTCAGGTCAACGGCACTAGAACCCCGTCGAATTTATCTGAGGAAGTTGACGAGCAAGGCCTGGAAGAGACGACAGAAATACCTCAGCTCAGCTTTCAAAGGCGCGCTGGGTGCCGGAGGCGCGGGGGGGCGGCTGCTCGTCCGTCTCCAAACACCGAGGCGGGAGGTCGGGAACATTTCCGCCGGAGGCGACGCTCGGACGGAGGCGACAGGTCTAGGCCTCGACGGAGCTGCGGAGCCTGTGGGAACTGCCGGGAGCGACGACAGATGAAGCAGCTCCGCGCGCCCCCCCACCCCCGTTTTCCCGCCTCGCCTTTCCTTCTCCACCCCCCCCGCCTCCCGACGCGTAGCGGAAGTGACGCGACACGTAGCGGAAGTCCCTCCAGCCGCGGTGTTGTGCTGTGGGGAAGAGAGACGGATTTGTAAACCCCGGAGCGAGGTTCTGCCTACCCGAGGCCGCTGCGGTGCGGAGACCCTGGGTGAAGCCGCCGTCACTATGTCTGACCAGGTACCGGGGCGGGAGCGGTCTGATGGCCGTGGCCGAGGCCTTTCTCCGCCGACCCGCTCGCCTCTCGGCTGGAGCCGGGGATGGAGACGCGGGGGAGGGGAGCGCGCCATGGGGGAGGGGGCGGCCGGTGGGGCCTCGGCCGGAGGGGGGGCGCGGTGGACTCGTGTCGGAGCCGCCGGGGCCTGCCGCCGGCCTCCGGGAGCCGCCCTGCTCCTCTCCGGGCCTGCTCATCACCCCCTGTGCCCCGGCGTCTCTGACGGAGGCCTCCCTCGAGTCGTTCCCCCCTTCTTTCTCCGGGGTCGACCAGGTGCAGGAGCCAGCTTCCACCTCCCCGAGAGGGGTCCCTGGGGAGCACGTCCGTCTCCCTGTCCCGGGGACCGGGTGCAGCAGCAGGGCCCTAGGCCCCAGTTATGTAACGGGAGAGAATCCCAGCCCGGGAGGCTCTGTGGCCCTGAAAAGCGGGTGGACTCCACTTTTCGGTTCTCGGTGTCGAGCTAGTGCAGGAGTGGGGGCGTGGGGGGCGGGAGGCGTCTGGGGTTGCTGGGAACCTAAAAAGCTGAGCTTTCCTCTTTGGATTGCTGCTAGGGCAGGGCCGTCGCCGCTCCGCTGAGGCTTTCCGTGCAGTGGTGCAGAGCTGTCGCCTCTTTTCTTGTACTTTCCCATTTCTTACTCGGGATTGGTTCCGCAACTCTCCAGTTGTAAGAGAGCACTCAGAATAACCGAGAAACAAAGTAGAGCGAAACTGCTAAGGCAACAGAAAGCGTTTGATCTGGGCATTAACCTCAAGCTGATACTTTTGAGGGAGAGGATGGGGAAAACTTGGGTGTATGTAGAGCAGTTGCATAATATTCACAGAAAGCTATTGTGGCAGAGCGCTTCGTCTCAGCGTTAGCATCAAGAATTTACTTGGGATTTGCACGCGATCTGCAGTGTTCAGTTTTGCTTGGTAAGTTTCTTCCTCACCCTTCTCTAGTTAAACCACGTTTATGGCTAGTTTTTGATTCATAACGTTTTTGTCTGGACTTCGTTTTGTTTGCTCAGATGACTAACTTTTGAAAGTCTTTTTTGGATCTTTTGTTTGTTTAGTGATAGTTATCTGGAAGACTTGTTTTTCATTCAACTCCATAATGCACTTGAACTTTTCAGTTTGACACAGTTACTCCCCAGGCTTCTAACTCGGTTCAGTTTGGTAACACTTGGCTAGAGTAAGCGAGGCTTGTGTGGATTTGTACTACGAGGCAAATGTACACTGGTATTTTTGAATCTTAACCATAATCTAGATTAGTTTTGGATGGATCTTCTTAACCAACAGTCTAGACTAATTCCCAAATTGGTATGGGAGTTATAAGTATGTCCCTGGGTAGTTGTTTACTTGGTTACCAGGGAGGAAAGAACAGGTGTAAATGCTTAGTTTCATCAGCCTTTTATTTTGATGTTAGGAGGCATGTTGAAATGTACTACAGCGTGATGAAAGAGCAATGTAAAGAAAGGATTACAAGCTAAATTGTAGAATTTATTGCTCCAGTTTGAATTTGTCATTAAGAGAGACATGAAAGAAGAAATAAAGGACTTAGTACCCGAACAGGTGGCCAGATGTTTTTTAGATGCTTTTCTAGAAGGTCCTCGAGGTCAAAACTATTTTCATGATAATACTAGGAATTGTCTTTTTATTCTCATTCTTTCATGAGTGTTCAGTGATGTCTTCTGGACACTAACATGACCTATCACAACAATTGAAGTATAGAAGCAGATGTGAAAATCCAGCTGCTTTCTATTAAGCCAAACATTAAAGAGCTTTGCAAAAATGCAAAGTAGTATTCTCACTAGTTTTGAAAAATATTTTCAATAAAAATGTTTTCTACTAATACATAATGGATTTATTGTTACTTTTGAATGAATTAATGAAATTTAAAACATTTCTCAGTTTCAGTGTCTAATACTGTAAATCTCTATAAATATGACCAACCTGATGAAAGCTTTAGGGGGTTCTAAATAATTTCTAAGAGTGTAAAAGAGTCATGAGACCAAAAAATTTGAGAACTGTTGCTCCCGTCTGTTTGACCAGCAACGTTATTAATAATCAAGATCCAGTACAATTTCAGTGTTGGGTGTTAAGTATGTAAAGTGGTATGAAGCTGAACTCTTACCCTTAAGAGGCTTATGAGCAAGAGTAAGAATCTCAAGTTATTACTTTGCAGTATCAACAGCATGAGACTCAACCACTGTCCCTAAAAGACAGTATTAACTTAAGCCAAGTTCTTTTAGAAGGATGCGTTTTCTGAGGCACCTCTCAGAAGTTTGGTGCTAAGATATTGCAGTTGAATTTTAGGTTTAAAAATAGGTGGACATTAAAATCAAGACTTGAGTTGCTGGATTCTCCATTGATTAGTGAAAATATTGTTTTGTGAATTTGAAATACTTCGTTATAATTCTGACAATGCCAGCATTATCTAGTGGATTTGTGAACCATTACTGAATAATCCTCTAAAAAAGGTTCTTTTTTTTTTTAAAGATTTTATTTATTTATTCATGAGAGACACACTCACAAACACACACACACACACACACACACACACACACACAGAGGCAGAGACACAGGCAGGGGGAGATGCAGGCTCCATGCAGGGAGCCTGATGTGGGACTCCAGAATCACGCCCTGGACTGAAGGTGGCACTAAACCGCTGAGCCCCCCAGGCTACCCTCTAAAACAGGTTCTAAACCCAAAGTTCATGGACCCTAAGGGCTGAAAATCCATTGAAACTATATGGAGTGTTTTGTGAGTATTTGTACATGCATTTTTTTGTTTGTTTGTTTTTTTAAAGAGAGAAAGGACCCATAGCTTTCATCAGAGGTACATGATCCCTCAGAAAGAATAAAGACTAGCCTTTAACCAGTAGTAGATCTCATTGGGTGCTCTCCTTTAACCTGATCTCACCTTGCAGCAAATCTGAGCACTTACATAGAACCAGAAGCTATCAGAATGGGTATGGGTAATTTGTTCCAATATTTTCCCTTTCTTCCCTATATTCAGGTTTATAGTGGTCCCCCAAGCTTCTCTCCCATGCCCAAATCATTAAAGGCAGCATGAACTTAATCTCTTTAATTCGGGTCTGTTAATTTGTAATAATTGGGTGACTGATTTACTTGAAATTCTAACTGAATCTGTTGTGAGCAGGTTCACTCTCCCCACCCCCACCTCAGAGTCTGAATGATTTTCTTTTATGTTCTTTCAGTCAAGGATTTGGAAGCATTGTGTAATTCTGGTTATCTGTTGGTACCTTACAAACTACTTCAAAACTTAGTGACTTAAATCAACGCTTTTATATTTTGCTCCTATATCTGCAATTTGGGCAGGGTTCTGTGGGTTAGACCTACCACTGCTCCTTGTTGTGTGGGGCCTCAGCTGGGATTATATGGTAGGGGGCTGAAATGGATGGGCTCTTCATAAAGTCCCAGAGCCTCTCTGAGTGATTTCATCATGTGTTTTGTTCAGCATAGGGACTCCAGAATATAGATCTGTGGCAGCTCAGCTAACAAGAGTGTGAATGTTTCCAGAGAACCCTGGGTGGAAACCTCAGGCTTCCTAGGACATAGCCGTGGAGGTCACCTCTGCATTCTGTTGGTTAGGCAGATCACTAAGGCCGGCCCAGATTCAAGGGAGAGGCATTTATTTATTTATTTTGGGAATATAATTGACCAGCAGCATTGACCAGCGGGTCCCTTTTACTCTTGGCACCCACAGCCACCCCCTGAAAGGGGTGATTTTTGGTCTAAGGTCTGAAGAGCTCTTTTCGAATGACACAAGAGATGCTTTGAGGAGGGGGTGACGAGAAAGGTTCAAGTATGAATAAGAATCCTGCGAAGTTCAAAGTCAGGGAAGAACACCCAGTGGAAAGGACACCCAGACAGGTCACCACCGTCTTGCTCCAGGTATACAGCATAATGATTTGATATTTGTGTATATATTGTGAAATGATCACCACAGTATATCTAGTTAACATCTATCACCACACAATTTTTTTTCTTGTAACGAGAACTTAAGATGTAATCTCTTAGCAATTTTCAAATATGCAATATAGTATTATTAACTAGTCAACAATGGAAAGGCATTTAGGCTTCATCTCAATAGGAAGAGTAACAAAGAATTTATGGTTATTTTTACCACATTAATGGTATTTCTTCTGTCAGGATAGCATTATTCCTTGCAATATTCTTTATATCTTCCTTGTTGCTGATGTTTACTGATCTTACCGTTAGCTTGAGATAGCAGGAGAAAATGATGAATTATTAGAATTTATAATTATGTATACTACTATTTATATCACATAGTAAGATTGGTAAACTGTAGCTATGACTTGAGCATGTAGTTAGTGATACAGTGAGCATTCCATAGGAATGCTGGGAGAGGATTGATACAGTGTCTCTTCTCTCTGATAGATATATAAGGTGCTGCTAGTGGATGTTGCAAACATATAGGTTATAATAAAACATTGCAAATAAAATGTCATCTAAACAATATTTAATAGTATTTTGAAAACTGAGTATGATTGTTAAGGTTGGAGTATTCATGAAGTTTAGCTGAGTAGTTCAGATTCAAACTATAAAGACAAATATGTCTTCATACCTGTTAGCCCCCTTAGCAGTTAGAATGTCTCTTTTATATTAGCAACAGTAGAGCCTGGGATAAACCTCATTGACTAGATACAGCCAGCAAAGCTGAGACTGTTTCTACTGTAGCTTTTATACATAATGTTACAATAATTATTTACTTAAGTGTCTTTTTCTTTTTTTTTTAAGATTTTATTTATTTATTCACAGACACAGAGAGAGGCAGAAACACAGGCAGAGGGAGAAGCAGGCTCCATGCAGGGAGCCCGATGTGGGACTCGATCCCGGGTCTCCAGGATCACACCCCAGGCTGCAGGCGGTGCCAAACTGCTGCGTGACCAGGGCTGCCCTTAAGTGTCTTTTTCTATTAGAGTGCTTTTGAGGGTCAGGAA